CTCAGGGGGTGGCCGGGGCTCCTCCGGCGGTGGTGGTGGTGGTGGGGTCTTGAGCTCATGGGTCTGCAGGACATCTGGGGCACTGTCCCGCAGGATGCGGGTGACTCTCCTGCTGCAGCACTCAGGCCCCGAGGAGGAGTACAGTAGGTCGAGCTCCTTTGGGCTCTGTGCCCTGCTGGAGTCGTAGTCACTGTCGGTGGCCAGGAACACCTCCGATGAGCCCTCCTCGTCCGACAGTCCATGCGAGTCTGTCAGGGGGAGGAGCAGCAAAGAGGGGCTGTCAGGGGCTGTCAGCAACCCTGGCTGAGGGTTTGCACTAGATGGAGTCCAAGGAAGCCCCCGAGCACATACCCTCTTGCCGTACCCCCCATGCAGCGCTTGCCAAGGCACAGGCAGAGCAGGTCCTGCCTCAACCAAGACCAACTTGCCCTGGCCATGCTCCCGACGCCAGCTCTGCCTTCACCTCCACGGTGCAGCCAGTCAGAGCTGCCATCCCATTCCCCTGAGCACCGGCAGCCCCTGAGCCCACTGGCAGGAGCTTTGCAAAGCTGGGTCCTTACCGGAGTTGAGCTTACGGCTGGTCTCTGGCGAGGGTGCTGGGGAGGGAAGGTAGTCGAGATGGGATGAGGTGGATTGGGTTTTCTCCTTCGTTGCACCGCCGGCCTCGATGAGGAAGCCACTGAGGGACACGCCGCAGGAGGGCTGCTTGTACCGGGCGTGTTGCAGGGCATCCATAATCCAGCGCATCTCACGCCAGATCTCCTCCATTTGCTGACAAAATAGGAAATGAAGGATCATCCCTTTCAAAAAACCAAACAACAGCAACAAAAAAGCCCCACAGCAAAACACAGGCTCTCCACACACACCTCTCCCAAGAGGGTGAAAGCTCTGGGGGAATCCCTGAGTCAGGAAATCCCAAGAAAGTGCCCTCAGGTGGGAAGATGCTGCTTCCCCCACCCAGTGGTAGCGGCTGGTTCAGCAGCCCCTGCCTGTGGGATGCTCTTTCACACATCCATCCCAAAATGCACTTCCAGGCCCTTTTCTTGCAAGGTGGGAACCTGCACAGCGGGAGCCTTCAGCTCTCTACTCAGGATTTTTAATGTGATCATTGCAGTAAGAAGTTGTTGGATGAAGCCCTGCCTGCTGCTGCCCATCTGCCACGTCAGAGAAACCCTGCATGGTCACAGCCACCAAGACCAATGAACAGCCCCAGTGTGGATGCTCCTGCAGCTCATGACTGTCCTGGCCACGTCCCATGGACACCACTGAGCCTGGCTCCTGCTCTGCGTACCTGGATGTAGTCCTGAACCTGCTGGTGCCTCTGCTTCGCGGTGGAGAGCTCGGTGTCGGAAAAGGCCTCCCTGAGGCTCTGCTGAGAGAGGAGCGACTCCAGCTCCAGGAGGGCGGACACCTGGCAGTACTGGGTGATGAACTCCCGGTCATACGTGAAGAAGTGAACTGGGAAGGGAATGAAAAATATCAGGTCCCTTGTTGTGGATGCCCTACGGGCTCCTCCCCACTCACCCAATGCAGGCAGGAGGCAACACTCTCTTCTAGCCCAGCTGGAGAGTCCTCAGCATCCCCCTCCATCCCTCCTCTCCTGTGGGAGGTAAGTGAGCTCCATCCCACCTCACTACCCACCCCAGCTCTTGGGAGGTCTCAGAGGGCAAGGAGACTGGCAAGGATGGGTTTTGGCATTCCCCCTGCTCACCAAGCTCAAAGATCTGCAGTGGCAGCGTGAGGAAGCCGGAGGAAGGGGTGTAGGGGTTGTTCTGGCCTGGAGCAGTGCAGACATCGTCTGATGGAGGCAGCAGCAGCAGGAAGGAGACCTGGCCCCCAAAGTCCAGCACCTCTTGGCTGTACAGACGGAAATCTTTGGCCTGCAAGAAAACACTGCAGGTAACGGCTGCAAACGTCACCTGGTGGGCCCTCCACCAAGTCCTCATCCACAGAGGAGTCCGCAGGGACCAGCTGCAGCCAGGGGACACTGATGTTTCAGCACACAGCCAGAGGCTCCCTGCTTTTGGCATAATCTGCACACCTTCCTTTCACTCCTATTTCTCCTAAAAGTCTCCAAACTACTGGTCAAAGTCACCACAACAGGGTGTTAGAGAAGTGCCACCAGCAATGGTCTCAGCCCTGCTCAGAGAGGTGCCCTCACAGCTGCCCGGCCAGAAGCACGTGTCTGTCACTGGGGCTGGTGGGCACCTTCCCAGAGAATGGGACATGGTAGAAGAGGGATTTCTCCCCACACTGTCTGGTCCAGGGGACTACAGCTCTATCCCACCACTGGCCAGGGACCATCCGTCTTTGGAGGGACAGAGTTGGGCTGGTCTTGTGCTGCAAGGGCTGAGCCCAGGACCAAACCACACAGCAGGCAACAATGCAAACCCAGATTCACCATCCCTTCTTCAGAGGTACAGGTGAGGGTGGTAGAGCTCCTGTGGACGCTGTCCCTGGGCAGGCAGATGCTTCAGATGCTGGTTGTCCACCACTCACCTTTTATTTGCACAGGACTAAAATCCAATTGGTGCTTCAGGCTCCCAAAGAGGGACCCTGTGGCCCCTGCCTGCTTGCTGCAGTGACCAGCATGGTGCTGCATGGCTTCTTCCCCTTCCTCCTCCCCAGACCTCAGCACCTGCCCGTACCTCTTGCAATGGGATGTTGACCAGCGTCATCAGCTCCTTGATGGCCACTTGGAGCTCCTGAAACAAGTGGTTCTGGGAGGTCTCAGCCTCTGGCTCTGCAGGAACGGGCTCCTCCACACTGGCCATCTTCTGCAGCCATTCCCACTCCTCCCTGGAGAAGGGAAAGACAGACACGTGCAGGATGGAGCAGCTTGGCGTGGACCTGAACACGCAGTCACTACGAGAGCTGTGGCTGCTCAGCTCTTCCTTCCCTGACAGTGCAGCACCACAGGGGATGTGGGAGGTGTGGAGGAAGAGGGGGACCTTGGTTTGCTCCAGCCCCACGCTGCCCTGCGTGGCAGGCAGTGGTCTGAGAGGGAACGTTACGCTGCTGCCAGGAGCCTGAGAGCAGAAGCAGGAGGTGATTACGACAAGAGGAAATGGCCTCAAGTTGTGGCCAGGGCAGTTGAGATGGGATGTGAGGAAGAATTTCTTTGCTGAAAGGGTTCTGAGGCATTGGAAGGGGTTGCCCAGGGCAGTGGTGGAGTCCCCATCCCTGGAGGGATTGAAGAGTCATGTAGACATAGTGCTGAGGGACATGGGTTAGTCGGGGACTTGTCAGTGTTGGGTTCACGATTGGACTCGATGAGCTTAAAGGGCTTTTCCTTTAAGAGGAAATCAAGACAATTCTGGGATTCTGTGACGGGTGTTCTTAGGCTGGATGGGCCAGAAGAGCCTGGCTGCCCGGGGTGAGCCGCCCTGCAAACTCCACCTGGAGATGTTTGGGTTGGAGCGAATCTTGACGTGGCACAGGATGTTGGGGAGCTGCTCTGGCACCAGCACTCGGATCTGATCCACTGCGCTGCAGAGCTTCAAGTAGCCCAGGTAGAGGCCCGGGGAGAGGGCATGGCTGCTCCGCTGGTGGTAAGCCAGCTTGTCCTGCGAAGAAAGGCACAGCTGGATTGAGCAAGCCCTTGCAGTGGGGCTCTCTCCCGACCTCATGCTGCTGCCATGGGACAGCCAGGACAGCTGGCAGAAGGGAAGTGGCAGAGCAAGAACAATCTGGTGCTGACAGGGTAACTCTGGCACCAGCCTGATGCCTCTCCTTGAAGCAAGAGGATTTTTGCAGGCTGGGTGGGCTCTGCTCCCCCTCTGCCCACAGCCAGGACCAAACCCTCGGTGGCCTGGGCTCTGCTGTGGCTTTTCCAGCCAAAGGGGGAGCAGGGAACGCTGGTGGTCCCTCAATGGAGCCCACTGCCATCCCCTGCCACGACAGCACCGGCACTGCACCTGGACGGAGATCAGCAGCGTGTCCAGAGCGGTGGGCTCCTCCGGCGATGACACGGACTTGCGGCTGGTCTGCAGCTTGCAGATGGGAACCCAGCGGACGCTCTCAAAAGTCTGGTTGGTCTTTACCTCCTTCAGGGTGATGATGAGGATGTTGCCCTGTTTGTCTTTGACGGGCTCGAAGAAGACCTGCCCCAGGTCCTGGATGCCCAGCAGCCCCTGCACAATGGGATGGGAATGCAGGAGAAAGCAGAATGTCAGGGGACATCCTGGAGGCACAGTGTTCTGTGGGTCTGGGCGGCCAGGACATGACTGGCAGCTGCCTGCTGGAAACCAGTCTGCCCAGCAAAGCACCCACCGAGAGCCCCCTGCCCTTCTGCACAAGATTGCCATGAAGCTTGACACCTCACTGTCCCACAACTGGGGTCCCACCAGGGAGGACAAGGCAAGGGCACCGAGTCCCACCACTGAGCGAGCTGTGGGCAGGACTAGCAGAGCCTGGGGTTTTCCTGGCTGTGCCACATCCGTGTCCTGCTCCCAGGAGAGCCTGACGCACAGTGTCCCTCAAAAAGTGCTTGCTCCCGCCCAGGTCCATCCTCACCTGCATTTGTGAGATGGCCAGCAGCATCTTGAAGCGCGTCTGCAGGATGCAGGAGCAGGATGACTGGGAGACAGTGACACCCTGCCGCAGCCACAGGATCTCATCCCACATGCAGGACACCTGCAGCACACCAAAGGGTCGTCACCACCAGCTGGTGATGCCTGCAGCTGGTTCACACAATGGTGTCTTGGGGAAATCCATTTGCCTTTCTGTTTGAGCTGGGTTAGGAACCTGCACCAGCACATATCACCATGCTGTGTCCACTCAGATACCTTTCTTATCTAGGACTGAGATCTTCTGAAGTTTGATTAGAAGACAGCCAAGAGAAGGAGGGAGAAGATAACCTTCTCCCTCAGTAAATGAGGACCATCCAGCAAAAGATTTTGGCCCTGAGCTGCCCACCTGCCCTTTCACCAAGCCTGCTGAGAGCAGAGGACCAGGCAGCAGCACTCTGCAAGCCCTGCTCTGTACAACAGCACCCACCCATCATGGCACACATCTTGCCCAGCATGGCACCAGCCCCTCACCCACCCAGCATGGGACACAGCCTACCCAGTACTGTGCTGGTCAATCACCCACCCATTGTGGCATGCAGCCTGCCCACTGTGACACTGGTCCATTGCCCACCTTTGGGCTTCCAGGGGTTGGGGTGGAAACACTGTTCCCCAGTGGTTCCTTGGTCCATGCTGACCCCCGGTGAGCGGCACACCTGTGGGCTGCCTGTGCCAAGCCCCAGAGTCCGGGGTGGAGGAGAAGCTGCTGCCCACTGAAGGCAGCGGTGGTGCATGATGCCCACTTGGCTCACAACCTCAGACATTGTGTCGTCTGGTGCCAGATGCTGGAGTAGCTCGTGCTCACTTTGTGCACATGGGGTGTCCCCTGGTGCTGCTTCCAGACCCAAATCAGACCCAGCCAGCCCCGGCAAGAGCCGCACAGTGCCCTGTACACAACAGGCACAGCTGCCTGCGCGGCAGCACTGGGGAAGGTGCTCTGCTGAATCAAAGAATCCCAGACTGGTGGGGTTGGAAGGGACCTCAGGAGATCATCCAGTCCAACC